GCAGAGTCCTCAGCTGCCTTCTCCGGAGCTGCCGCAGGCAGGGCTGCAGCCTGCTGCCAGGACCCGCTTGGGGCCGCCTGAGGAGTCTGCAGAGACCCAGTGTCTATGGGACTTCCTCCTGGTGGGACCCGCTTTGCCCTCAATAGCTTCCTTTGTATTTGTGCTGCTTATCATGGCAGGCCTTGAATGCAGATGGCTGGCCGAGCAAGAGGGTTTTTTTGGTCTCCTGGTGTGGTTGACCCCAAAATGAGGGATCCAGCAGCTGGGCCACCTCTTGCAGGCTCAAGCATTACCTGCAAAGGAGCTTGGCTGCAGTATGCAGCTGCTTCTGAAGCTGTTAGGGCTACAAGGATGGTGAGGGGACTGGAGCATCTCTCCTACGAGGGGAGGCTGAGGGAGCTGGGCTTGTTCAGCCTGAAGAAGAGAAGGCTGCGAGGGGACCTAACATATGCTTACAAATATCTGCAGGGTGGGTGTCAGGAGGATGGGACCAGACTCTTTCCAGTGGTGCCCAGCGACAGGACAAGGGGCAACGGGCACAAACTGACTACTGTAGGTGACCCTGCTTCGGCAGGAGGGTTGGACTAGATGACCCACAGAGGTCCCTTCCAACCCTGACCATTCTGTGATTCTGTTTCTCCCAGTTGATGGAGGTGGTGGGACACAGCTTTCAGCCTCAAAATCCTAGTAGCTCTGATATGGAGATTTCATGTTTAAGCATCTTCTCCTCAGGCTTCCAGGCATGAAGACCACATGGAGACCCGTGGCTCTCCAGGCATGGCAGCTCTTAGCATCCCCAGCCTGTTTGGCACCCGTCCTCTCAAGGACACGTGGCTCTGCAGTCTATCGTGGCCTCACAGGAAACATCCTCCATTTAGATGCAGCTTTCAAAATATGAACACCCCAAAAAGTGGGAAAACTGAGTCCATTGGGTTGGTTTTGAGAAGGTCCGGAGAAGGTTCCTAGGGACCCTGCTGCCAGGGTGGCTGGGGTACCAGCTGCGGTGCCTGAGGAGGTGGGATTCCCCCAAGTCCTCTGTTTGCAGGAGCCTGGCAGTGGTGTGATGCTGGGAGCTTCACCTCAGAGGGGCTGGATCTAGTTTGTGGTGCTGCTGCACTTCTGCCAGGAGGCATGGTCTGTCCAAGCCCTGGTAGCATGGATGAGGCTCTTCCTGGGCAAATCTTCTTGTATCATTGCTCTTGCAGATGCCGTGGCACAGGGAGCTGGTTAGATGTTGGGAAGAGGAGAGGAGGCTTTGCAGACGGGAGCCCCATGGGAACTGGGAGAACTTATTGGTTTGACTGGGATGGAGCTCTCTGAAGGTCTCTGCGCCGTGCCTCAAAGCCTCCTCTGGAAAGCTCTGTGTGTCTCAGCTGTCTTTTCTTTCCCTGTGAGAAGCCCAGAGTTCACTAGACCTTGCAGCCAGGCTGAGCTGCTGCCCAGATTCACCGAGAGGGTGTCCTCCTCGGGCAAGCTCCCAGTGCTGTGGCAGATCCCGCTCTGCCTCTCGGCGAGGATTAAGACATAAAAACAGAGCCTGGCTGTGTGAGCCGGGAACCGAGTCCCTTCTCATCCACACAGCGGGCTGCGCTGTCCCACCCTGCTCTGGGACAGGTGATGTTAAATAGGAAAGAAAGACCAAAAATAGAAAAAAACCCATCCCTGTTAGTGAACGGAGAGATGGTGATGGCAAGGCACAGCCAGCTCTGCTCCAGCCTCTGGACAGGAGGAAGATGGAGGTCATCCCTGTGCAGGCTGGGTGGGCTAAACCCTTACGCACTTTCCCTGCCGTGTCCAAACCCCGTGTCCAAACCCCTGTCCCTAGGCACACGAAGCCTAGGTTTGGGTTTGGGAGCCTGTGGGAGGTTGGCAGCGTTGCCCTGTGCCACGGCCCTGGTCCCTCGTCCACCTCCATGGCTGGGGGTTCTGGATGGGAGGAGGCCATGGGGACCGGCTGGCTGGCAGGGTGGGCATGTGGGGGCTGTGGGGGGATTGGGGCCCTCCATGGCCAGGGAGGTTGAGGAGGTCTGCGGGGGGGTGGTCGCCCTACTAACCCATCCCTGTTTTCCCCACAGCTGCACCCTATGAGGATGGAACAGCAGATGCCGCCGCTCATTCTCGAGGTGAAGACCTTTCCTCCTTCCTCCCTCTGCATGCTTCTGCCCCGTGGCTGAGGGGTACTGCCAAAGCCCTGAAGAGATTGAGCTGGGACTTCCCAGCACAGGCAACCCAGCTCTGATGGCAAGGACATGGTGGCACCTCCGCTCCCCCCCTTCCATTCCTACCGCCAGCTGAGCTTGGAATGAGATGGTCTACAAGGTCCCTTCCAACCCAAACCATTCTATGAGTCTATGAGTGCATTCAGGACTCTTCAGTTGGATCCCACCCAGACGTGCCAGCACTTGGTCGTCCCAGCTGTGCTGACCGTGGGCTGAGGAGTTTGGTTTTGGGGAGAGCATTGGCTGGGGGGTGCTTGGGGAGATGGCCGGGTGTTAGGTGTCAGCACCCGGCACCAGCAATGCCAGGGTGGACTAGGGTTGGTAGGCACTTCTGGGCCACAGACAAGCAAAAAGTGCCCCTTTCTCCCTCTTTGAAGGGTGCTGAGGCTGCCAGGGTCATGTGGGACCTGTGTCACAGCAGCAGCATTATGACGTGCTGGGTTCCGGCACCCACGTGCAGCTGCGGACGGGGCCAGCATCATTCCCCATCCGGTGAAAGCCCATCGCTTCTGCTCTGCTGCCCCGCTGCCCCTTAACACCCCCTTTCCCCAGGACCCTGGGGCTGCTCAGGCTCAGAATTGGATGTATCAGGCTTCAATGGAATGAGAGGAAGAAGACTTTGCTCTGCAGGTAGGGATGATTACGAGAGAAGAGGAGGCAGGGTGACACCGAACAGGGGGACTCTGGCTGAGAACGCAGGTTTTGAATCTGAAATTAGGGCTCCTCCATGCCTTTCTACATTGAATACACCTGCCCAGTCGCCTGCCATGTCAGGACCCACTGGAGCTGGGTGGGGAGGAGACCTTCCCTTGGGAACCGAAGGTGAGAAAGTTAAATGCCAGAGATAAGGGACTTGTAGAAGTGAAAGGCGTCTGACACCTTCCCCCTGCCGCCACTCCTGGCAAGTGGGTCATTTCATTGCTCAGGTATGCGTGGCATTCGGAGCCTCCGGCGCTGCCGAGAGCAAGCGGGCTGCCAAGGGTGACGGCGACGTGGGGTGTGGGTGCATGGGGCAGGAGCACGCAGCTCCGAAGCTTTGGCCTGGGTCTCCCTCGGGCAGGAACCCAAGCTGGACACTGCAGCGGGGAGCAGAGAGGAAATCAGGGGTTTGGACCTCTGGTTCTCTTCCCTGCCTCCTGCTGATGCCTTAGCTTTGGGGTGTGCCGAGCAAGGGTCTCCTCGCTGGAGCGTGGGATGGGGTGTTGCTGGAGGCAGCGCTGCCTTGAGCAGGGGCAGTTAGGTGAGGATGTGACATGAAGCGAGCTCTGCAGTGCCAACACGTAGCTTCCTTCAACCAGGGCAGGGACTTTTCAGGGCCCGCAGACCCGATGATTTACAGCACAGCGTGTACACACCAGCGCAGCGTAGAAAACACAGCCCCAGTGCAGCGTGCTCAGTTCCAGAGCAGCGCAGCACTTCCAAGTCCGGCTGCTCTGAGCTTTTACCCGCATAGAAGAGGTTGTATTTGTGGCACGTACCTGTGTTTGGGTGGAAGCCAGCTTACCCATCCGTTGCCAGTATGGCTTGCAGAGGTGCAAAGGCTCTTTGAACTAGCTGGAAGCACAGGTGATGTGTTTCACTGGAAAGGGCGAGGAAATCTCTTGGGTCCCATCCAGCTTTGTCAAGAGCAGTGAAGTTGCAGTAGGGATGACTTTGGCCCGTTGCACTCCGGTGACATAGTTCAGAGCTGTAAAACCTTCGGCTCAAGCGTGCAGGGTGTGGGGTGAGATCAGCTTGCTCTCCTGAAGCGCGTTGTAGGCTCTGCCAGGGAAACCCGGTGGTTTTGCCAGCTCCTCTACATATGAATGAGTCTACGAGGGCTTTGCTATGAGCTTGACACATGGATAACCACAAAATTAAAGGCTGTAGCTTTATAGAAGAGCATTAGCGCTGGTATCTTTAACCACAAAGAGCAGAACTTGAGTCATCAGATGCCAGGGGATGAATTTCCTAGTGGATTGCTCCATCAGGTTGCTGAATTGTTGGGCTTGGATCCAGTGGGATGCTGCATCAGACGTGATGCAGGAGGGGAAGGAACCAGGCAAGCAGTGACTGAGAGTGCTAGAGGTCCTGTTAGCTTGGAGGACCCAGACTTGTAAAAACGGCTCTACAAAACAATGACTGAACCACAGGTTAGGTGAGGGCTGAGTCACTTCACCGAGACAAGACTCATAGCGTGCCTGGCGGTTTCCATTTTAGGCTCACGGTCCGCAGAATTAGCGGCAATGTCGTTTAAATTTCTAGGGCTATAGCCCAAATTATTCTCAGTTATTTAAAGATATTGTCCTAGACTAAATGCCATACACCTCAGGCTGTTGAGTTTGCAGGAGACCAGAGTCAGCATGCCGAAGGTGGGCTGCAGATCCAACATGCCCAAAGCGTGAGGCTGGCTGGAGAAGAGTTTCTGATTTCATCCCGTTTCTAGTGTTAAATTCTCTTGTCTGCGACCAAAACTTTGTACCTAAAGCTTGACTCTTCTTTATCAGGCCATATTTCTTTCATAACTACATCCTCTGCGTAGCTTAGCCTTTGTTATCTGTGCTGATTAGGTAGGAGGGAAGTGGGACAGAGGACAGTGATTCACTCCTGGGGAGTCTGTGACTGAGTCAGAGGCTGAAGCTAAATCACCGCCGCCCGTGACTCCTGGACACCTCTTGCTGCTCTCTCCATTTCCTGCCAGCTTAAGTACTTGTTGAACGCTGGAGTCCCACCACCACCGTGTCAAGGTTACTCTTCACAAGTTCTCTTGTCCTTATGTTTTTGCCGCAGGCACGGTCTGAGATGGATAAGTACCTTTCGAACGAGGTGCCGCCCATCCCAATGATACCAGACAAGAAGTACCGCCGCGAGAGTGCCTCAGTGGTGGACGAGTTCTTCTCCACAGAGAAGCCCACTTCTACGCCGTACAGCGTGAACATCAACGTGATTCTGCCAGACACGACGCACCTGCGCACTGGACTTTACCGGCCGCCCAAACCCATGACGCCATTCCCGCAGATCAAAACAGAGCCCGGCACCAGCTTCGCCCAGCCCTGCTCTTCCGCCTCCGGCTCCACGCAGACCCTGCCCGACTTCACCAGTGTCTTCAGCATGCCCCAGTCAGTGGCAGTGAACAACATCTTCATCAAGCAGGAGATGCCCTCCGAGATCCCCTTATCCACCAACCCACAGCAGTCCCATCTTTACCAGATGCCTCTGGGCAACGGAAGCGCTGACATTACCACTCTGACATCGTCCTCCAGCAACACCACAGCCATCAACAGTCTCAGCGGTGTCACCATGTCCACGGGTAACACCATGTCCAGTGTGGTACACAGGCCTGTCCATCCAGGAGGGCCAGTTAAGCAGTACCCACACATCTCCCAGGGACAGGGAAACTTCAACATCTCGGGGCAGTTCTACACCGTTCCAGGGGTGAACCTGCCTCCTTCACCCCCCAACTCACAGCCTGGCAGCCCAGAAAATCAACCCGAGCTCATCAACACCATCTCTCCCCCACCATCCTACGAAGCCACTTTTGGACTGAAGTTGGTCCAGTCATCCCAGGTCCCCCCAGGCCCAAATGGCCTTGGGACCCTCTCCCAGGGGCACATTGTCATGCAGCCCCCCAAATACAACAGACGCAACAACCCTGAGCTGGAGAAAAGGAGAATCCATCACTGCAATTACCCAGGTATGCTCGCGGTTGATGTACTGGCTTGGCTTGGGGGGGGGGAGGGGTCGGGTCTCTTCTTGACACACTGAGGCTGGGGGCTGCTTTGGCCCTCCGCAGGAATTTAATCCAAAATCACGTTGTCCGCATGATGAAGGGAGATGTGGAACTGGGTGGAGAGCCCCATGGGAGTGGGGTTCCTACCACCACCAAGGGAGCAGAAGCTGATCCTGCCTGTGCTAGCTGATGCCTTTTTTCTCCCCTTCCCTTTCTTCTCCGCACTCTGGCAAAAGCAAGCCTGACTCCAGGAGGCAGAGAGCTCCTGCAGAGCATGGGGATGCTCCTGGACATCGGCTGCCTTAGCTGCCCACTTCGCTCTGGTCTTGCCTAACCTTGAGCAGCCACATGCTCTCCACAGGCAAAACCATGCTGGCTTTCTCACAGACCTTTCCTTTCCCACTCTCCCGTAACGGGCGTCAAACCATCATGTAACTTCCATAAGCAGCTTCTATGGTCGGTCTCTGTAGCCCCAATTCTCCTCTTCCAAAGAGGCAATGAGCTGAATGTCTCTGCATCGTATCCTTCTAGTGGCGTCACATACTGCGTCAGGATGGCATGGAAAGGCATTTCAGGGAAAGGATCAGCCCAGAGCTGAAGCTCTTCCCTGTGTGTCACCTCGTTGCATGAGCATGTCCGTCTAGAGACCTGCGATGCCTTGGCAGGAGGAGATCTTGCAGGGTTTCCCGTGCTGTGCACAGAGAGCTTGTGGGACCCACCGCTGCAAGCTCTCCTTCACGCTGCGTGGGAGAGAAATATTCTTCTCCCTAGCGAGAAACCCGAGTGACACCAGCGTGAGGGCTTGCAGATCACCGGTGCTTTGCAGAGACACACGCCTCCCACCTCCTGGGCCGGGCCCCGGCCATTGAGCTGTTGGGGATCAGCAAACAGTTCTCCGATGGAGGTGTGTGGACTGGGGAACGTCGCTTCCCAACCACCTCCTGCAAGATTTATGTGCTCTTCCCGTGGCGTGGGGGTGGCTGCAGTAGGTCAGCCCAGGTTCTGCCTCCAGCAGCGACCCGAGGGACTATATAAGAACAGAACATGTTTAGAAAGATCTTCCTGTGCTTGCGCCTTCCCACCCTGCAGACTGGGGACCTTCTGAGCCAGAAGCTGCACCCCTGTTCTTGCGGTTGGATTTCTTTTTGCCTTCTGCTGGTCACGGTGGGAGCCAGGTTAAGGGTGTAAGTGGACCGCTGCTCTGAGACAGACCCCTCCGCTCATGTCAGAACTGGTCCGAGCAAAAGTCTCACCCCACAGGATGCATTTATTACCAAGGCAAAGCTCGCCTGTTTTCAGCAGTATTTTGGCCTGCACAGGAAGGCAGGAATCCATCTGCGGTGCAAAAAACCCTGCGCTGAATAAACACTGGGTGTGCACGTGCAGAGAAAGAGGAGGGCATCTTCTAGCCCTTCATGCTGAGGTTCGGCTGGAGGTGAGCGTGGTCAGGGCTGGTGGCAAGGGCAGCAGGTCTCGCTGCCGTGGTCCGCATGGGGAAGTGGCGGGAGGCATGCCGAATTCGTGCCGGTAACTGGATGGACAGGGGAGAACCTGTTTGCAAAGCCCTGGTCCACGTTCTCAGGTGGTGGCCCCGGCTCTTCTTCCTCTGCCTGCTCATGGGGAAATGAAGCTCAGCCGTGCCCTGCTCTGTGCTGCTCCCTCCAGGTTTGGGAGCTGCTCCGGGTGCTTGGGTGGCTTCGTTTCCATGCCCGGCGGGGAGGCAGTTCTTGGTCCCATGCACACTCATCTCTCTCTCAAGCATGAGGGACCTCTGAGGCTTCAGAGCATCAGAAGCAGAACTGAACCGGGTCACCCACCCTTGTCCCTCCTGCCATGGGGAGGGAACGGCAGCTACCCCGACCCCCTGAGCAGGGCAGCACGGAGAGCTGGTCTCGTGCAAGAGGCTGCGTGGAAAGGCTGGAACAAAAAACATGACTATGTTGCTTATGCAGGTCATAAAAATTCAAATTCATATTTTAATATACCTGTCAAAACACAGTGAAGTAGGGCTGTAAAGGCAGCAGGAGGATCTTTTCTAAGCTTTATCGAACTGAAATGAGGAACTAGTGATTCGTTTTGAGATTGATGCCTGTTGTTGAAACTTTAGCCAAAGCCACGGTGTTTCTGTGAGGAGCCTTCCTTCGATAAAACCCGTTGTCGCTGATCTTCTGAAAAATCTTCCCACCGGCTTTATTCTGGATCCTGAAAGCCAGGCTGTGGCTCTGCAGTGTACCTGGCGTTCCTTGCTTCCTGGAAAGTTCTTACCGCATCTGCTTGGGCTGGGACTGTTACAGGATACATCCTCCCTCCAGCCTTGCGGCAGTGACATCAGTCACGTCCGGAATCCAGAGAGACAAACGGCAGCACAGAGCCAGCAGCTAACGGTGCTGAATTTAATGTTTTCATCCTGCCTCGAAGACCTGGTTGAGGAAGGGGAGATCTGAAAGTCTGTGCCTGACTCTTCCCGGCCCCCTAATTCCTGGCACAATGCCTGTGGGTGTCAGGGTTGCGTGGCAAAAGATGGAGAGTTGTAAAGGTCTGTCTGTCTTGGAGAACAGATGTTCTTTAGTTACTGCTGAAATCCAACGGGTATAGCCAGGGTTATTTGCATACCATTACCCAGAGCGCTTTCCAGGCCTGCTCTGTCCCCAACCTCAAATGTAAATGTCCCATACTTCACAGAATCACAGAAGGTTAGGGGTTGGAAGGGACCTCTGTGGGTCACCCAGCCCAACCCCCTGCCCAAGCAGGGTCACCCAGAGCAGGCTGCACAGCACCGCGTCCAGGCGGGGCTGGAATATCTCCCAAGCAGGGACCTCCCCAGACC